GGGCAGTATCCGTGACAAAATTAGGTTATGGCCTTTTTCTTTAAATGCCTTTATCAACACCTTGTACTTATTATTTAGCCCATCTGACCTACCTTTCCCTACATCATTAGCCCCTACATGCATCACAAAAAACTAGCATCTCTTCTAGCCCCTTTATTATATCTCCTGCATGTAAAAATTGTGTTCATGGAAATACGAGTTACACATTTACACATTAAAAGTTATCAAAGCACTATAAACAGAATGGTTAATACAGCAAAACCTGAAATTTAAAAATAAAACATAAAAATTCTTTATTCAACAGTATCTGTCGAACAATGCACAAATTTTGCATAAACAAGAAGTTCACATCTACCACTGTTCAAACTTTTAACTTCTGTAAAGAGAAGTAATTTAGTGGTGACATCTTTTTTGGACTTCACACAAGAATACATAGTTACGATTCTATATGAAATAGCTTGACGTTAAAAACCATTAAAGAATTAGTTCTAGTTTTAAAAAAATGTATTTTTTTCTCTGCCATTATACATGTATCCAAGACTATATTAACATTGTTATGCCATTTATTTAGAACATTTTAAACAAAACCATCCAATTAATGATGGGGAAAGCTTCTTTAGCCAATTCAAAAAGGGCTCTTTGGGTGAAGATTGGATCATTTGGCCTATGAAAACATTCATGGTTCTAACAATGTCATCACATTCCCATGACCCATTGCAAAGAACTGCCATTCTGCTGGCATTTTGAAGATTTATAAAACTTTATCTGTACTTACATGGTGAAGCAGCACCATCCAAGAAGAACAGATATTTCACCTCAATGTTTGTCTTCAGATATGCAAAGAACCTCTTCACAAATAGACAGCAAGTGTATCATGGGTCAGGCATTTTGAAATGGTGATGATTATATATAATTGTAATTTAATTTTACACCAGTTTTTTCATACAATAATTACATAATGTAGAATCAGCACACTAAATTATTGGTAGGCCTTAGAAGTCACCTTCACATTTGTACAGACTGATTAACCCTCTCAAAGTTATTTTTCATTTTTAGTCATTCTTAACTTCATCATCCCAAATTTATTTTCAGTATAAGCATAAAGAATAGTGTGAGCTTCAGTATCCAACCTTGATTTCTGTCATCCATGTTGGAATTAACAGTCTGAGTTACATGAATGTTCAACAATTCAAGGTCAAAATTGTGAATGCTGGAAAAAATGGCATATTTGGCTAAAGCACAAAGAGAGCTTTCCACCATTAGTTTACTTTTTACTGCAGTATTAAAGATAAAAAAAAAGCTATAGTGGTCTCATCTAGGAACCATTTAAATATTTGGTGACCACTCACATAAAAACCATTTGACTTAGAACATGAAAGTTGGCTAAATCTCACATCTTTAAGACAACAACATTCCAACCAATTACCATTACAATAGGAATAGGTCAGGCCAGAAATCTTCCTGAAGTGACTGATTTGATGTGGACAAACCCAACCTAATATTATCCCTTAGCTTAATTGGTAAGATCACTTTGATTATGTCACCCTATCAAACAGTTTTGGGGAATTGTTGGTGGTGATATCTTTTTGGGAATTTACACAAAAATATATAGTTAAGATTATATCTGAAATAGCTTGACATTAATATCCATTACAAAACTGGTTCTAGTTAAAGAGAACTTGTTTTTTTTATCTGCCAATCTACATGTATCCAAGATTGAGTCAATATCATTCTGCTATTTATATAGAATATTTTAAACAAAAGAATGATGCTTGACTAAGCTGCATAATTATAACTTGCATACTTATTAACTCAAAATATTTTTCAGTCACTCAAAAATTTTGTTTCTGTTGAACAACCTCTCAGATTCTTTACTCTTTACATACCAGTGAGAATGTAATAAATTAATTATAATACCTCTTGAGGCTTAAAACTTTTTCTCTCGGAGAACTTGACTTCATTCCAGACAACCTCAACACCATCTTCTGTGTCCATGGCCAGGTATGCAGAATCAATACCAGGAATGTCTCTTTGTTGGACCTGGATAAAACAACCAAGAACATGTGACCTGACCATTATACTCCTTAATCTTCTCTGTATTATAAGTAACAATCAAGGTACAGTTATTATTGTTTTAATCGACTACTCGTAACACCTCTAATTTTGTTTTAGTATTAAATGAAGTAGTTTTATTTAATTGATCTAGACTTTACCATGGGATCCCCCCCCCCCCCCCCCCCC